CAGTGCACAAATTTTCATGCACCAGGCCTCTAGTTAATTTATAACAGAAGAACAAATAAAATTATAATTATTACAGACCATTACAAATGATTATTGCTGAAAAATCATTTTGTGGCAATGAAGGATGATGGTATAAAAAATGATCCCAAATACACTGGGAACACCTCCAACTGTGGGAATGTCCCAGGTGTGTACTGACGTGAATGGGGAGGACAGAGAAGCAGACTCTGAATTGCAGAGCCTCTTTCTGTATGCTCCTAATCACTCCTAAGAATTGTTTTCACCTTTTTAAAGGTCACATGACCTGCAAAATCAAAAATACTTACTTTCCGACTCTTTATAGCAGGGGTGGGGAACATCCATCCCTCGGATGGTATAAGGCCTGCAAAATCATTTGGTCTGGCCTTGCCAAGGCAACCGCAGGACTCAAAATTCAATAAATCTAGGAGCTTTTTTATAGCAGCATAAACTTGTATTAAGTGAATTATATTAAGTGAGTGATGTTATAAATATCCAAATGGCCCTTGATATATAAAGGTCCCCCACCCATGCTTTGCAGGGAAAGTTTGCTGATCCATGCACTATAGCATTGGTTCTGGTTAGCAGTTTGTCAGGGAGACATGGGCTCCAGGAAACCAGGATGCCTGTGGAAGAGCAATGTCATGGATCTGTCTTGGGGCTCATCTTGATTTTTCCTGTCTCTCATACCTCATTCTTGTTATTATTGTTTTTATCTTTTAAATGATTCTACCTCTTAAATAGTTGTCCAGTTCTCAATTGCCACACTTCCTGCTCTCAGCCACAGTCCTTTCCACTTCCCCATTATCCAGACTGCAGGGAGTAATAAAATGCTGTCTTGCCATATAATTTTCTCACCTCGTCAAATTATCTTTGGGATTAACTCCCCGCCCCCCCTCCCAACACACAAACACACACACACACCTTGGTGTGGCTGCCCAAGGCTGCCAGGTTCTCCTCCTGCACATCTGCCCACCCCCACCCCAGCCTGGTCCCTCCTCCTATCCCCCGACCTTAGCATTTTGCTGTCCAGCCCTGTGAAGCACCTGCAGCTCCCCACACTTGGCACAGTCTCTCTTTTTTTAAAAAAGATATATATATTTTTATTGAGTTCAGACAGGAATGGAGAGGGAGAGAGAAATAGAAACATCAATGATGAGAGAAAATCATTGATTGGATACCTCCTGCCCACCCCTTACTGGGGATCAAGCTCACAACCCAGGCATGTGCCCTGACCTGGAATTGAACCTGGGACCCTTCAGTCCCCAGGCCGATGCTCTATCCACTGAGCCAAACTGGCTAAGGTGGCACAGTCTCTTTTAAGCTTTTGTGTATGCCTTTCTCTTCTTTCCTGTTTCGGGAACATTCTCTTTTTCTAACCTCCTGGTCCTCTTCTGCTCATGTTTCAAAATTCAACTAAATTATAACAGTGAACCCAGAAATAGTAAGAAAAAATCCTCCGCAAACATGTCAAATATCCAATATTAGACAGAGTAGGTGTTAAGTAAATCAGTCATGGTATAGCTGTGCAAAGCAAGTCCACCATCAAAAATCAAATCACACTGAACTCTGAAGACATAGAAAGTGTGAATTATACGTGGGGGCCACAAAATGGGACACATGTCATGATCCCTTTGTTGTTAAAAATATGTATTTATAGGAAAGAAGACTGGAGTGAAACAAAGAAAAATGATGGTCATTATTTTTTGGATGACAGTTTTACAAATAATGTTTGCTCTTTTTAAAAAAATCTCATTGGTAAAAAAAAAAAAATAACAACTAAGTAAACATATATTAACTTTATAAGAAACTAAAGGTCCCTTTATCTTTTAAACACCATCTGGATCAGCTTCTTACCTCCATAGATTAGTGACTAAATTGTAAAAGAGGGGGGAAACAGAAGAAAGACAATTAATCCAAGAGCCACTTTCCTTGGGAAGTCCAGTCTGTGTTGGACTCTAGGCTTGTGTGTGTGTCTGCTACCACCCTCCTCTCCCCCAAGGAGAGAATAGCCTGCCTAAGGATAGAAAGAAACAGAGCAGCCTTTCAATCCAGAACTCATAGCCCAGGAAATTGCTGCACTGTCAGAAAGCCAAGAGGATGAACCTAGAAAGGGTCCTGAGGGTGTTTGGTGGTTGTCCTCCCTCAGTCCCTGCTAGCTGTATGTAGAATCCAAAGGGGCCAGAAAGAGCAGCTGGACAACGGGTATGACTGGCCTCTATATATAAAAGGCTAATATGCTAAGTGTCTGTCTGATTGGTAGCTATGATGTGCACTGACCACCAGGGGGCAGATGCTCAACGCTGCCGGGCTGCAGTGACTTGGCAGCAGCGGTTCTCGGGTGACACACCCCGAAACCAGAGAGGGGGGAGCCCAATTCCTCATGGGGCTGCGCGATTCCACCTTTGGCTGGCCGTGGGTTATGTTGTTGCTGGGGCACTGTCAGCCCTGAATCTGGTTTACTGCACACTTGCATTTGTTCCACACCCTGTACTACAGCAACTTTGCAGAGTGCTCTCTCACACTCCGGGACTCCTCGGGGGATGTCGGAGAGCCAGTTTCAGCCCAATCCCTGCAGGCAAGGCTGAGGGACCCCACTTGCTGGAGGGACCCTCCCCCCTCACTCCACAGCCGCCCTTCAAGCCACGGCGCCACCCCAGGTGCAGCTGGCTGGGAAGGAATCGAAGCAGGTTGACTCCAGGGCGTGTCCAGTCTGTCTTGCCCAGTCCCACCCCACCGGCCACTTTCTAATTAATTTCCTTTCAATGTGCACGAATCCGTGCACCGGGTCACTAGTATAAGTAATAACATCGTTTACAATCAGTGGGACAATGTTCAGCTGTTTCATAAGATAAAACAGTACTACTTGGCATTTTCCTAAAGTCCATCTACATAAGAAACACTTTTGAAATAGTAATACAAAGGTTACAGTTTTTCAACCCATGAGTTGAAATAATCATTTCCTTTTTCTTTTTAAATATATTTTTATTGATTTAAAAGAGGAAGGGAAAGGGAGAAAGAGGCAGAAACATCAATGATAAGAGAGAATCATTGATTGGCTGCCTCCTGCATGCCCTCTACTGGGAATCGAGCCTGCAACCTTGGCATGTGCTCTTGACTGGAATTGAACCTGGGACCCTTCAGTCCACAGGCTGATGCTCTATCCACTGAGCCAAACCAGCTAGGGCAATACTCATTTTCTTAAGCAATGTTAAGAACTTCACAGTCTTACTGAGTTATTTATTTTATGGGTGAAGAGATGCAGTTGTCATTGAACTGTTCTTGATATTTCCAGTTTATTTGTCATAAGTAAAGATGTTGAATAGCATTTAATGAACTGGTTTTATTTAAGAGGCACAGCTGTGCATGTATACTTTAGTGTCAGATGGAGAGGCTGTTGGAGGTGGGGGTGGGTAAACGAAGTTCTGTCAGGTCCTCAGGAGGTCCCTGAAGATCTTCCAGAGCCATCTGCGTTTCACACCTAAGTCTCTCTAAAAGTAATTCCTGTTTTGACGAATCACAGTCAACTTATTGTCCAACCAGGTTCACTAAAAAAACAAAAGTCAAGCCCTGGCCAGTGGCTCAGTTGGTTGGAGTGTTGTCCCCTACACCGAAAGGTTGTGGATTCATGCCTGGTCAGGGCACATGCCCAGGTTGCAGGTTCCTTCCCCGGTGGGGTGCATGCAGGAGACAGTGGATAGGTGTTTTGCTCTCACATGGATGTTCTCTCTCCCTCTCCCTTCCTCTCTCTCTAAAATTAATTTTAAAAGTTCCTTTTAAAAAACAAACAAATAAAAAAGCCCAAAAGTCAACAGAAGAAAAAATGTCTGTCTATTCCACCAAGTTTGCTTAAGCATGTTAGCATTTCTATAATGAAGAGTTAGAAAGAGTTGTTTGCATATTATGATCCTCCTGTGCACCTGGAGAAAAAGGGAGAATTAGGAGAGGGCTCTGGACCACTCTGCCCCAGGCTCCAAGTCTTTCTTTACCTTAAGGCCTTCAAGGCTCTCTCCAGCCCTTTCCACGTTCTGACACACATGTAAAATGACAACATGCATGTGGCACACGGGGGTAAATGGAGTCACGGAAATGTGGGTCTTCCACTAAGGGTCAATCTATAATAAATATATTACCCATTCTAAGCTCCCCTGTTGGAAGATCAGCATATAACATTAGGACTTCACACTGAAGAAGGTGAAGGAAGCAAATGGAAAGATACTATTGGGACCAATAGTCAACCTTCCATTCTCCCCAAATGTGAGTTCATGAACGATGAAAAAGAAATCATAAATGGGGGAAATGAAGTAACACATCAGAGATTAAAAAGGAATTAAATTTCCACAGCTCTGGTACCAGAGCACCTCCCATAAGCAAGTGGTTCATTTTTAATTTGGCTATTGTGATGATGTGAGCATGCGGTGAGCTCATCTACACTAATAAAAGAGAAACATGGTAATTGGCGTACGACCGCTACCCTTCCCATTGGCTAATCAGGGAGACATGTAAATTAACTGACAGCCAAGATGGCGGCCGGCAGCAAGGCAGCTTAAAGCGAACATGAGGCTTGCTTCCTTCATTGAAGGAGGAAGCCAACGTTCCCCGCCTGCGCTGCCAGCCTCTGAGCTGGCAGTTTGAAACTTTGTAACACTTTCAGCCG